ATAACATACACCATCGGCGTTGGCATTAGTCGAAATGTTGAGAACGAGGTCAAATGTAAGCCGAGAGCTCACAGGCTACAAGTTAGCAGACAAGATCGCAGAACGGCAGAGTTTCTTGGTCCTGGAAATGTACCTGCGGGACTACAGATCAATCCCCGGATCAGCAAAGCGGTGTGATAGTGTGCGATGCCTCAGAGGCTATTACCACATCCGTTCAATTGCGCTGTTGGAACCATGACCAGCATCGAAACTAGCTGACGGATGATTCAGAGTTGACAAGGCCGTTGGTGACAACAACCCTCATGACCCGCGTAAGCGGCAGACTGACAATGCTGGTTGAGACCATTTTGTCAGATATCCTAATCTACACGACAGCCTAGGCCCCAATCCCTTCTTGAGGCAATTCTGCGAGTTCAACTTACCTCGCAATACTATGGATAATGTAACTGGACGTGGTGCATGATGAACCGAGAGAGGGAAAGCGAGCTCAAGGGGAATCGGCTTATTGCTCTTGACTTTCGTCTATCGCTTGACGATTCCGTATACGCCTTTCTGTTCATCCCTTCCACACACCTTAAGACATCACAATCAAGGCGCATATACAACCCCTCGACCTCACCCCCTTCACTATCCAGGCGGCGCCCGTCTAGTTCGACGGGTCAGGACAAGCCGAGTGGGGTGGTGGAGTGGTTGAAGGTCAACGATCAAGTGCGCCCATAACCTACTCGAAGCTAGGCTCTGGGTCAGAGGTAGATTCCTAGCATGAGTGCTAAAAGGTGTAGCTTACCCAGATGAACTCCTTTTGCCTTTGACGATATTTTAGGCGGCCGTCTATTCCAGTTTCTCCCCCTTTTAAGGGGCCGGGCACAAGAGACGGGAGGTTGAGATTTTACCGAGTGAGCTACGGTACAAGTATATAGACGTTCAAAATAGTCGAACGAGAATGCGACTTACTATCGGGATACGGTAGGCCTCGTATGCGCAACGCGAGGCTCTCAACTATGGACTACGTCCTTACATCTCCTTTCACACGAGCCTCCAACAACCATGGGGTTCTTCAAAAACGACCCTATAACCTGAACGAGCTCAAGTAGATAGTCAAATGCCAGGTCTTGTTTACAGCTATATTTATGAATTTCGCCAGGGCGAGTCAGGGAAGAAGACGTGAGGCTTTCCATGAGATCATCTTTCCCATCCTTCGCGTTCTATTAGAGCTAAGAACGCCAAAGTCGTCGTTGTAAATCCATCAGCTAAGAGAATGACTTGGAGAGCACTAGTCATATTCTCAAGATTCGAGTCTGCGCACATTCTCTTGCATATGGTCTTCTTAATCATCATCTTCGTGAAGTTGCTGGCGCCGTGCTATAATGTTCTTCTCTTGAGGAGCTCTCATGCTCACCTCACCCCATTGAGTATGGGCTTGTGATATAGATAGCCGATCTCCGTGCTTAGCATCGCTTCCACTAATGCTGTACTACTTGTTGTAATCAGACCTCTTCATACTAGCTGCACTATAGCCACTGCCGAGTGAGGCCATACTAGAGGAGTTTTGTGACTATGATGAGATTCCATGTCGACCACTTTGCCTAGTAAGGTACACGTCGCTAAGTGAATAAGAATGTTCCTGTGGTTCTTGAAGACACTTGTAATGGTATGGATCGAAGAATAGCGTGGGATTGAGAGCGCCTAAGGATATCTGCTCGTCGACTGCCAAGGGCTTATAACACACCACACTCGACAGATCACCGCTAGCATGAATGGGATGCGAGGAGGCTTTACTGTGAGAGGAGACACTTTTATCGCAAACAGGACCTTCAGATCTTACCAGAAAGACATATTTTCATCTATCATAACGTCAAGAGATGATCCTTACGAGAATGTCCCGGAGTTATGAGTGCCTTGAGTGGTACCTTCGGCCCTCACTCTGGTGCTATGCCCCTTGACGTTTCATATTCAGTACTGCGCTCCTTTGCAAGGTCCAATTATACAATGTTAGTTGTTGGAATTCATGGAGTTTCCACAAGTCTGGTTATTGGGGAGGGATGCATTCCTGCGGCGAGGTTCTCATATCCTGCTGAGTGCTGACTTACACCGACTTGACGAAACTCGCATTATCACTCCTCCAACGTATCAATGCAAACAATATAGGCCCCTTCTTGATGGCCAGGTCTGCGAGAACTCTATCCTCAGAGCGACGAGTCTGATGAACAGATAATCCCATGGAGCAATGCTCATTGATGTGGGTTTCAGTCGCCTGTCCTGGTGCATCTCACCCTCATAGACCGATGAAGGCTGGTCGCGGGCCGACTGTCAAGAACTGTCAAACTGACGCTTCACTATGCAAAGCCACCCATATATACCCCATCGAGTCGCATACAATTCATCGTCGTACGGGCTGGAGACAGAGACGATGTGAGATGTCTCGCAGCTTTGCTACTCGCACGCCACTCTGAGTTAGCGGCTTTGAGCAAGACTCTATGGTTACAGAGGCGACGAGGAGTCACCTAGGCATCCCAGGTACACGAGATACTAGAGTGGCTCAGGGAAATCGCGATGTGCAGTGTCAGCATTGAAACGTGGAAATCCACAGATCGAATCGAAGCCATTACCCAAGAAATGAGTGAAACTGGATCGATGCTCTAAGTGATGTGGGTGGATCAAATACGATGCAGTTGACAGACCTCACGTATGACCATCTCATAGCTATCGAGATGCTGTTAGGGTAATCACATTCATGATTGCTGGTGACTGACTTGTTGAGTAAGTAAATCCAAGCTAAGTATAAACGAACTTGTGGCGAGGGGCCATCCGACGCAGCTCATTCATGATGCTAGAGACATTGATGGCAGACCATGATCAAATGAGATGGAATACGAAATGACGCTTGGCATGGACTCAGTTATCCACCTAACTACTCAGATGTTGTGAGAGATCTTTGCTATCAATGACTCGACGGTGCCAGAGATATCACTGCTGGCCAAAGCGAAAGCTTGGTTTCGAGGGCATCATCAACCATGGTTGCGAGAAAGTCAAAAAGTCAGAGTTTACAAATGTGCAAACTAGTGGCTTCGTTACCTTCAAAATCAATTAAGGGGTCTACAAAATATCTTACCACATAGCTTGTTATTGCGGTTGAGTAAAAGTCGGTGTTGACTAGCCCTGTGCGTATAAGCCACGCCACATTTCTTCCCTCGGATCCCGAGGACGTCAACTCATTAGCAAATGCTCCCCTTCATGTCCGCAACGTGAAACAGCGTACATCAGCACAATACACAGAAAATGAGTGATCAAGGCTGAAATCGGTCTCAGAGTCTTAGCCAGACCTCCTGGTTGACACCATCAGAGGGGTGAGGGGGGAAGGGGGTTGAAGAACCACGCTTCTTCAACAAGTTGGAGAGCCTTGTCCGAGGTGAACTTGTGTGCTACCACACTAGGTTCATCGAAGTTTTCAATTATGTCAGCCGCTTCCGAGTTTCTTAATGTGACTGCAAAGCTAACCAGTAGTTCTCTTGTCACATTTCGACAACTCTTTTGCGATGTCATTGAATATCATCCGAGTGTTGCGGGGCGAGGTGGAATGAGAGTTGAGTGTTTGGGGAAATTGGATAGTCGTCGCTGGCTGACGACAGAAAAAAAAAAGAAAGAAACAAAAGAAAAAGCAAAGCTGGGAGCCTTGGCGGCGAAAAGTCCGTTGACAGTTCTTGGGGGAGCTTGGTCCGGATGAGGCGACGCCATATTCAAGGGTCTCAGAGTCCGCGGGGTACACATTCCTACCCCAACTTATGTCATGTTCCACCGGGTAACGGAGACGGATGCAAGTCTTTGAGGAATGTTGTATGAAGCTCAATTGATGTGAAATGTACGGAGTAAGCTGAGCGAGTCTAGAACTCTGTAAGGTACTTCTGCCCGAGTATCAGGTACTGGTGAACGCGAATTGTCGTGATACAGTACTGAATGGATAAGGAAGCTTGGGCCGACTGTTCAGGTGGCTTCACGTGACACGAGGAGCTGGAGCGGAGAAAGGCCGGGTTTGGTTGGATCGAGGGAACCGGGGTGGGTCGGAGATGGCCCGAAGACAGTTGATTGGCTGACCAAAGGCTTCTGGCCCACGCCTTACCCGGCACCTCTCACCGCAGCGTGCAGCGAGGCGAGAAGGATGGGGGACCGGGCGTGGGGGAGACCGCTGGAAAAGCAACGTCTGGGACGATAGCGTCATTGGGACCCGACTTGGCTCCATTTAAAGAATTGGAACCGGATTTCACACGAGAAAGAGTGCAGTTGGTATCCGTACAGGCTCACATAGCTCTGGAGTTCTTTCCCTATGACGACACAGGAAATTACATAGACACGACAGAGAACCCGAACGAACTTCACTTTCGCATCTCCGACAGCTATTCCGTCCCACGTCGGAGAGAAAAGTGTTGCAGCCTCTATTAGTACGAGCGCACATTCTGCAAACGTAAGGTACCAAAAAAAGAGCAACAGAGCAAAAGGGTGCTAACTCGTTGGTTGTCAGCTGCAGAAAGCTGTGTACCTTGCTTCAGCTGCAACCCTACCTACCCGTACCGACCGATACCTCTCTCCCACCTTCACCTACCTGCTTTTCTGCCTGTCGCGCCTGCCATTTGGAGGTACCCTGATTGCTTGGCCCAAGACCTGAGACCGCATCAGCCAACACATCCCGCACGCCGCCCTTGTCTCTTCCCACTCATATTGGGGTCCTCGTGACACGGATTCCTACACACATCAATTTCCCCCCATTCTCTCATCGAGCCAACTCCCTACACCGCCCCAATCCTCACGTTGCCGAGTATCTTTTTTTTTTCCCTTCCTGTCGTTCGATACTCCTACAAGTTCGACTCCGGCCAGCTCGGCGTATACCCTCGCTTGATACCGATCCAGCGACCTACATCTCCCGTCACAAGCAATTGACTCAGGTCTTTTCAGCTTTCCCACCTTGCCAGCGATCGCCGCGAACAACCCCGCTTAACCCGCGCACAATGACTTCTCCGACGAGTCAACGCCGCCCTCGCGGTGGCAGCGAGGACCAAGGCAATGGTGTCTTCGACGATGCGAAAACCTACTACACCTCAGAGGAGCGCCATGTCAACCGTGCTGGACCTCGAACCAGAACCTACTCACAGGTACGTTAGCCACCCCTGCTTATATCGCACGCCTGACCGCTTGTTGTCACCCATTTGGAACCATTTGTAGTAGATACTAATTCTATTTTCCCTCTTCTTCAGAACAGCTTGTTCCAGCAATTCGAGCGCATGGGACTTCGCGAGCCCTTCCGAAGAGGCAGTCACGGTCAGTCCACTCCTGCTTACGGTTCTTTGGGCTGCTGATATGCTGACTTACGAATCCTCTAGACGAATCCTCAAACCTTGCGAACCGAAAATTCCTCATTCAGGTAGACGAGACGCTCAAGAGCTTGCAGGCTCAAGAAGATACCGATGGAAACATGCAAATCACCATTGAGGACAATGGTCCCAAGGTATACCTATGATTCCCGTCGCCCACTGTCCAGGAGGAGACAACGAAGCTAATGCTGATGCGACCCAGGTCTGGTCTCTGAGAACTGCTGCCTCCGCGGGCCACAACCGTTTCGATGTCCGAGGAACCTACATGCTTTCCAACCTGCTGCAAGAGTTGTCGCTTGCCCAACAATACGGCCGCAAACAGATCATCCTCGACGAGGGCCGCCTGAACGAGAACCCCGTGAACCGATTGTCGAGACTTATCAAAGACCACTTCTGGGAGGGATTGACGAGAAGAATTGATGCTTCGACCGTGGAGATTGCAGCTAAAGATCCCAAGGACTGGACCGATGACCCCCGTCCGCGTATCTATGTTCCTGTTGGAGCTCCGGAACAGTTCGACTTCTACACCAAGGTGGCTCACGACCGCCCAGAGATCCGGTTGGATGTCGTCAGGCTTCCCGAGGTCATTACGCCTGAGCTCGTTCGCGACATGAACGCCAAGCCCGGCCTTCTCGCCGTGGAAATGGAGAAGATTAAGGATCCCAAGACGGGCGAGGACACACTCAGGGGTCTTCCCTTTGTGGTGCCGGGTGGACGCTTTAATGAGCTCTATGGCTGGGACAGCTACATGGAGTCACTTGGTCTTTTGGTTAACGACAAAGTCCATCTGGCTAAATCCATGGTGCAGAACTTCTGTTTCTGTATCCGTCACTACGGCAAAGTTCTCAACGCTACTCGCTCCTACTACCTCTGCCGTTCTCAGCCCCCCTTCCTCACCGACATGGCCCTCCGCGTCTACGAGAAGATCAAGCACGAGCCTGATGCCAAGGAATTCCTTCGCACGTCTATGCTCGCCGCTATCAAGGAGTACCACAGTGTCTGGGTCGCTGAGCCGCGTTTGGACCCCGTGACTGGTCTCTCGAGATATCGGCCTGAAGGATTGGGTGTTCCCCCCGAGACGGAGGCAGACCACTTTGTCCACATTCTCGAGCCCTACGCCGAGAAGCATGGCATCACCTGGCAAGAGTTCGTTCAGGCCTACAACCACGGCAAAATCAAGGAGCCGGAGCTGGACGACTACTTCCTGCATGACCGAGCTGTGCGTGAGTCTGGCCACGACACCTCCTACAGGCTGGAGAAGATCTGCGCCGATCTTGCGACCATTGACCTGAACTCGCTTCTCTTCAAGTACGAGACTGACATCGCCCGCACCATCCGGAACGTCTTCAACGATAAGCTCGTCATCCCTGACGAATTCGCTGTTGGACCGCTCAAGGCTGGCGAAGTGGTTACTTCGGCAATCTGGGACCGTCGGGCGAAGCGCAGAAAGCTCGCCATTGACAAGTACCTCTGGAACGAGGAGGCGGGTATGTACTTCGACTACAACACCGCCAAGAAGGAGCAGTGCGACTATGAAAGTTGCACCACTTTCTGGGCCTTGTGGGCAGGCGTCGCCTCTCCCAAGCAGGCGGCAGCCATGGTCCAGCAGGCCCTGCCCAAGTTCGAGGCCGTCGGCGGTCTGCTATCAGGCACAAAGAAGTCTCGTGGTGAAGTTGGCCTGGAGCGACCTAATCGCCAGTGGGATTATCCCTACGGCTGGGCTCCTCAGCAGATGCTTGCCTGGACTGGACTTGTCCGATACAGCTTCAACGAGGATGCTGAGCGTTTAGCGTACAAGTGGCTGTTCATGATGACCAAAGCCTTTGTTGACTTCAACGGAGTGGTCGTCGAGAAATACGACGTTACTCGACCAATTGATCCTCACAGGGTCGATGCAGAGTATGGTAATCAGGGTCTCGATTTCAAGGGTGTCGCCAAGGAGGGGTATGTTGTTTGTGTCCGTGACATTCTGTGATGATTTTGCTAATAAAGACTAGTTTCGGATGGGTTAACGCAAGCTATGTGTATGGACTGCAGATTGTCAATGCACACATGCGGCGTGCTCTTGGAACGCTTACCCCTTACGAGACCTTTGTGAAGGCCGTTGAAGAGAACAATGAGAAGCAGCTTGCCGAGCTCCTCTGAGTGACTCTGGCGTGGTCGGGAGACGAACCTACACATAACGTACACGATGGGCCATGAAAAGCACGACGAAAAGCTGGTAAAAACGGTACAGGACCTGTTGTCGAGTCTGGGTCGAGTTGGATTGGGCTGGAGAGGGGTCTACATTTGGCCTCATATCTTGCCGCGGCACGTCGGATATTGGAGGTTGGGAAAGGAGTTTGCAAAGGACTGACGTTAAATGGAAGATGCATGACCATGCCTTTCGACTGCATCGAGACACGACTGCATCGAGACACGACTGCATCGAGACACGAATGAAGGGATGGGCAGGGTCTGGTAGACTGTTGAAAGAGGTTAGACTGGCTGCAAAGCCAAACCAGATATCCACCCAATGCGATCCAAACTTGTACAAGTTGACGTGACAAGATGGTGGTGATATGGGACGAAGTGACGGGGAGGGATACGTTCGGCACGTGTCGATCGGACAAGTTCCGTGACAGCAGGCAGATTGATCAAGCCTCATTGTGCTTTTGGAGGTGTGGCAAGAGGTTGGCTTGTGGTGCGTGGTGTGAGGTAACCTGGTATTAAGACAGGACATGTGACACAGTGACTGACAGCAATCTAGGAAGGATACTACAGGTACTTGGTAGGTATTGAACGACTCAAGGAGGAGGGTAGGGAGATTCCGGAAGCATCTTCGCAACGGCGGCTGGATTCGGCGAGAGGTACAGAGTCGACCTAAGGGCCGAGGTATCTCTCCAAGTCTTTCCCGCGAGTTGGAGAAGCTGAGGCCAGAAAGTGTGACGCACGCCAGGAAAGCGTGATCAGCTCTGGGTTAAGCCGGCGCCAATGGAATGGCTGCCGACTCCGGCACGGTTTCTTCACATGCTCGAGAGCCGCCGCTACCCCGCGCAACAAATTTGGGGGAGAGTTGGCAGCAGCTTCGACTTTTGTACTCTGCACTCCAAGTAATTACCAGACGGAATTTGTGTTTCTCAGTTATGTTTATGGAGAAGAAAAAAAACAAGGGAAGGATGAATCGGAGCACTGAGTACAATACCAATAACAGACGGACGGAAGCATGGCGTTGCAGAATCTCGGGAACCGGCAGACGTACGGAAACTGCGTGCAGTCGGGTTGCAGAATGTTTTCCCATGGCCCGGCTGTGTTGCTGCTGCTGCTACTGCTGCTGTTGCTGTGCTTTCCCCAGAGCCCAGCGTCCCCAGGTACGGCGGTACGGTACAGTAGCGGGAGGAGGGCATTGGTATGGCGGGGCACGGCGGGGGACATGCAAGGAGCTTCGGCAACTCGGCCAATGACGGCAATGAGGAAAGACTGGCTGCGTTTCGCCCCAAATCCGTCTTCCCCTTTGAGCCGAATCCAGACCTCTCGCCCGACGTCACCCCTTTCTCACACTGCCCGGTCTTTAGTGCAGGTACACTTACAGATTGACTGTCAGACATTCCGCTACCAATTCCTACCTACACTATGAGACCATCTCAGTCAGTCGGTCAGTCAGTCACTCACTCACTCACAGCAGAGTGCATTCATTCCGCTCCCCCACACCAGGCACTCCAACAAGGAGACGCCACCATTACTTACCTATTCTCCTCTCTCTCCACGGAACAGACCACGAGGAGAAGCAGGGTCATTCAAAAGTATCTGGTACTTGCTCCAGGAGCTTGTTCCGAACTATTTTCAGCTTCCGAGGTTTGTTTTACCCACGGTCCTGGCACCCAGCCAAGATTTCGTTCGCCCTACCAAAGACCATAGACACACCACTCACCTTATGCTTTCCCATGCCAGCAACCGTACGTGACTGGCTGGGTGAATGGAGGGCTGGGCGAGTCACCCTCACCGCGTAGAGCGTTCTTCACACTGTCCATTGACTGGCCTGGGCCAGAGGTCAGAGGTACAAGCCTCGAAACAGATGTAAGACGATTGGTCCAGGAACGCCTTTTGGCCGAACACTGCCGATGGCGGCCATGGCCTAGCTTCTGCTTGCCTACTTGCTTCTTTATTCTTATGCTCTGCCGTGACCTCTTCTCTTTTTTTGCTTGTGACTCCTCCAAGATTGACTTTCTTTCTCCTCCTCTTCTACCTCTCCAAGCACCATCATCTCTTCCCTCGAACTCGTTGATCACTTGTCAATTGAGTTGTGAATAGCATCATTAGTCTGGTGCTACATTGTCTTGTTCCTGGCCTGCCAAATATCTAGGTATTCCTGTCCAACCTCGATTCCTACATACCCCTCCATCTCGAAGCATATCGTCGCCGAGAAATCTCCGCTACAAACCCTCACAATAGCATCATCTTTCCCACAAGTCTAAAGCTACACATTGCCCATCATGGCTGCCAGCAACATGGTCAACAACGCCGTGGACCCGAACATCGAGGATGACCTGTTCCAAAAGGAGGTTGAGCAAGTCAAGAAGTGGTGGAGCGAGCCGCGATGGAGACACACCAAGCGATCCTTCACCGCCGAGCAGATTGTCTCCAAGAGAGGCCACCTCAAGATTGAGTATCCGAGTAACGCCCAGTCCAAGAAGCTCTTTGAGATTCTCGAGAACCGCTTCAAGAACAAGGACGCCAGCTACACCTACGGCTGCTTGGAGCCCACAATGGTCACTCAGATGGCCAAGTACCTCGACACCGTCTACGTATCTGGATGGCAATCATCGTCAACGGCCTCGGCCTCGGACGAGCCCGGCCCGGATCTGGCAGACTACCCTTATGTGAGTTCTCCGCCTTGTCAACCACTGTCCAGGCAAATTCCAGTAGCTAACTTGCCTTGACAGACCACCGTGCCTAACAAGGTCGCCCACCTGTTCATGGCCCAGCTCTTCCACGACCGGAAACAACGCCAGGAACGCCTGAGCGTCTCCAAGGAGGCTCGCGCCAAGCTCGCCAACATCGACTACCTGAGACCCATCATCGCCGACGCCGACACGGGCCACGGCGGTCTCACGGCCGTCATGAAGCTCACCAAGCTCTTCATCGAGAAGGGCGCCGCCGGCATCCACATTGAGGACCAGGCCCCCGGCACCAAGAAGTGCGGCCACATGGCCGGCAAGGTCCTCGTTCCCATCCAGGAGCACATCAACCGCCTCGTCGCCATCCGCGCCCAGGCCGACATCATGGGCTCCAACCTCGTCGCCGTCGCCCGCACCGACGCCGAGGCCGCCACCCTCCTCAGCACAAATATCGACCCCCGCGACCACGCCTTCATCCTCGGCTCCACGAACCCCAGCCTCCAGCCCCTCAACGACCTTATGATCGCCGCCGAGCTGGCCGGCAAGACGGGCGACCAGCTCCAGGCCATCGAGGACAACTGGCTGAAGCAGGCCAACCTCAAGCGCTTCGACGAGGCCGTCGTCGACGCCATCAAGGCCGCGCCTCTTTCCAACAAGGACGGCCTGATCCAAAAGTACACCGCCGCCGCCAAGGGCAAGAGCAACAACGAGGCGCGCGCCATCGCAAAGGGCATCCTCGGCGCCGACATCCACTTTGACTGGGACTCCCCGCGTACGCGCGAGGGTTACTACCGCCTCAAGGGCGGCTGCGACTGCGCCATCAACCGCGCCATCGCGTATGCCCCCTACTGCGATGCCATCTGGATGGAGAGCAAGCTGCCCGACTTCAAGCAGGCGCAGGAGTTCGCCAAGGGCGTCCACGCCGTCTGGCCCGAGCAAAAGTAAGTACACAAGTCCAGCCTCGGAAAGAAAGAATCCTCTTGGTAAATAGAAAAATTGGGTTTACTAACTTTTGGTCTTCTCCAGGCTCGCTTACAACCTCTCGCCCTCCTTCAACTGGAAGACGGCGATGCCCCGCGACGAGCAGGAGACGTACATCCGCCGCCTCGCGTCGCTCGGCTACTGCTGGCAGTTCATCACCCTGGCGGGCCTGCACACGACGGCGCTCATCAGCGACAAGTTCGCCAAGGCGTACAGCCAGCAGGGTATGCGCGCGTACGGCGAGCTCGTGCAGGAGCCCGAGATGGACTCGGGCGTCGACGTCGTCAAGCACCAAAAGTGGAGCGGCGCGACGTACGTCGACGAGCTGCAGAAGATGGTCACTGGCGGCATCAGCAGTACCGCTGCCATGGGTAAGGGCGTGACGGAGGATCAGTTCCACTGATTTTCGTTTGAACAGGAGGGTGATGGAGATATTGGGTTGTGGTGTATGTATGAGGGAAGAAGAAATGGATTGGAGGTATCTAAGATGCAAGGATGTTGTTTCTGTTGGATGGCAGGTGTACCTATTCAGAATGGGTTTAGGGTCGGTAGCACGTCTATGAATTGTTCCTTTTTAAGTCCATGATGTTGATTGTGGTGTGGTAATTGTTGGTGATGGCAAGCAATAGCATCTACTCGGCAAGCGGTCCCCGGGCAGAAGCCGACTGGACCCACAACAGGGACCACCCAGCGGGCCAGCACCAGCCTGTCCTGCAAAGAGAGGCCCGTAAATTCCAGTCCCCACAGCTCCGACTCCGGAAGCCCGACATGACGGCATCCAATGGCACCAGATTGGCAAATCCGGGCCTCAACGGTTCCCACCTCGGTAGACGTTATTCTCCTTTCTCATTTGCTTTGCTACTTGCGATGAACTCCACGCAGCCCCCACCCAGGCTGCTGGATGTGGAAAATGTGGGTACGGAAACCGGTCCGTCCCCACACCAGCTTGTATCCCATCGGACCCTGCGCCGACGTTGATTGTTGAGATAAGTTGATAGGTATAACATGAGAGAGTCGCACGTCGTTGAAGAGCTCACTCATCTTGAAATCAAATCATCTTTGATTACTCTTCTAACTCTATCATGGTGAACTAGAGACAAAGAAGTGAGAAACTTCAGCTGGCGTTTCCCTAAATCTTCCCACAACCTTACTGCATCTCATCCACTATAAAAGCCACACATCTTACACAATGGCATCCAAAGACTCACCAATCCTCATCGTCGGCGCAGGCGTCTTCGGCCTCTCCCTCGCCTACGAACTCACAAAGAACCGCGGCTACACCTCCGTCACAGTCCTAGACCGCTTCCTTCCGCCCGTCCCCGACGGCAGTTCCGTCGACGTCTCGCGCATCATCCGCACAGAGTACGCAGACCCGCACTACGCCGCCCTCGCCACGGACGCCTTACACGGCTGGCAGACGTCGGAGCTGTTCGGCCCGCACTACCACCAGTCCGGCTTCGTCATGATGGCCGACGAGCGGGAGGGGCCGAGCGCCTACTTTGACAAGTTCCGCAAGTGGGAGAGCGGCGGGAGGCCGGCCAAGGAGTTTTATGCGCCGCCGCTGGTGGATGTGGAGGTGAAGAGGCGGTATAAGGGCGTGCAGGCTGACTTGAAGGATTTCACGGCCACGTTGAATGCTATTGGTGGGTGGGCTGATGCCGTGGGGGCGATTCGAGCGCTCGCGGGGCGGTGTACGCTTGCTGGCGTGTCGTTTGTCACGGGGCGGCACGGGACCGTCGTCTCGCTCGAGAGATCTGGGAAGAGGGTCACGGGCGTGAAGACGGCGGCGGGGACGACGCTGTCGGCGGACAAGATCGTTCTCGCGACGGGGGCGTGGACGAACCGCATCGTCCCCGGCATGGGACACGCCATGTCGGCTTCGGGCCAGCCCGTGGGCTTCATCCAGCTTTCGGCCGAGGAGGCGGAGAGGGTGAAGGATATGCCCGTCATGATCAACATGAGCACGGGCGTGTTCTGCTTCCCGCCCACGCCCGGGACGAACTTGCTCAAGCTTGCGAGGCACGGGTGGGGTTTCGCGACCGAGGTTGAGGTTGAGGAGGGAGGGGCTGGGAAGAGGACGATTTCGACGCCGCGGTTGAGGGAGAGTAATGCCGCGTCTGGGTATTTGCCGCAGGACGCGGACGAGGATCTGAGAGAGGGTGTGAGGTTGTTCTTCCCTGAGTTCGCGGAGAGGGAGTGGTGTTACAAGAGGATGTGCTGGTACACTGATACCCCTGAGGGAGACTTTATCGCGGACTATCACCCGGATTTCGAGGGCTTGTTCTTTGCGACTGGTGGTGCTGGACAGTGAGTATCTTCCTCCCCTTTGGGATTAACCCCTGATTTGGTGTTATTTGCTAACGTTGAGGAATCAGTGCTTTCAAGTTCCTTCCAGCTATTGGCCCGCAAGTCGCTGATAGCTTCGAGCGTAAGCCGTCTACGATATTGCGGGAGAAGTGGAGGTTAAGGCGGCCCACGAGCAGCGAGGAGCCATTTGGGTTCTCGGGAGATGGCAGTCGTGCTGGGCCTTTGCTGCGGAAGCTTTCGGTACAGGAGCAGTCGAAGTTGTGATATGGTTTATTTGGGCAGGATTCTTATGACATCGCTGAATATTTAGTGCGGAAGTTTTAGAAACATGAAATCATCTACTAAAGCAACGCAGTATGAAAATTGCAATGAGCCAACAATGAATCCCGGCTTGTATGCACCTATTTACAAATTTTACCCACCAGTGGAAAATGTTCTGAATGATACAAATGAACCCCAGACCAGCCTGGAAATCTTACCCAAAGAGAAACCGTTGCGTCTCGCGCTCCAAGGGTTCCAATACCTGTTCCTCTATCGACCGCACGAATTCCGCATTCTCAAAGGACGCGTCCGGCTGCCTAGAAAAGTGAAGGCAGTACTCAATGGCTGTTTTAAAACCAAAGGATACCTGACCATCGTTAATTCGTTCCTCAAGTACCCTTGATGCAGTGGTATAGCTTGTTTCTTCATTTGGTAAGCCATCGCGGCCCAAATCGGTTTGCTTCGTCATATCCTCCAGAGGAGTTCCACAGTGAATCTCTAGAAGCATGACACCAAGAGAGAGCATACTTTGACGACTGCAGAGTATCATGGAGCTGTCAGAATTCTGGGGTGGTGGCCCCGCCTGAGCTACTGAAGAAAGTTTAGCCAAACCACAGCGAAAGATCTAAGAACCAGGAGGTGGACATACCTGTCTCGTACTTGTAGACCAAGTACGGGTGCTTGGCATCTATTTGAGAGTTTCCATCGCCCTTAAGACGCAGAAAGACAATATTGTGCCGGCTCCATGGTTCTACTAGCCAAGGTGTTTTCCCAAGCTGGATCACGGATGAAACCAGAGTAACCGCCAAGCACAGCATGTCTCCCATTCCTAATCGCATTGTATTCGTAGCCAGGAACTTGTCCAACGTGATTAAATCTTGGGCGAGATGACGTTGCTGTGTGTCCACCCCGTAGAGTCCTCGCATTACATCTGAAGAATCTAAATCTAGTCCAGTCTGAGGGTGCATAGCTCCTGCAATCGCAGAGCAGATGTCGTCGATTTCTAAAGCCGGTGGAGCCGGTGGAAACGAAGGCCCAGGCATGGCAAATCTTATCTTTGGTATCTTGGGACTACTCCGAAAATTGAAGATTAGGAAAGTTCAGTATCTTGAGATTGGTTGCGCAGATACCTAGTTTCTGGAATGCTTTCACCAAGGACACGGATTTCCATATCGAGCCAAGTTTTCTCCTCGACTCTCGGCAATGCAACTCCGAATCGTTCCAAATTACCCCCATCTTTGAGGAGACCTTGTCGGTGAATTCGTTTTCGGTGTAGCCTTTGTTCGAGGAGGAGGCCTGCCCGGTGGCAGTCGTGTGTTCCACACCATCTCTTATGGAGGCCTCTGTGTAGCCGAGAGGCGTTCTGCTGGATGCTCTGCAGCGGGGCAACGAACTGAATGCGGGCTTTATGGCACAAGCCTTCGTCTTTCTGGAATTGGTTTATCTTATATGCCCCTTGCAAAAGATTACGCAGATCGGTGTTGAACTTAGTGATTGCTTGGAGCTTTTTGTCCACAGATCGCCTCTTCAGGGTAAACTCGAGCCGTTTCTCAAACCTGAAACGCTCTTGAGGGTCCTGAGAGTTCGAAATGGGGGGGTTCGAAGAGATTATGATAGCAAGCCCTAGTTGCTTTACCTATTTTGAAGCAATTTAGTAAAGGCTCAACAGGTTCGAGACGTCTGGCTCGGACCTTGTCTGAGCCACTTATACCCAGCTTGGCCACGATACCGCTCAAAGTTTTACCGAGGTCCTCCAATAATCCCATCGTGGGTTCATATGCACTTCCTAGCTCCTTCGTGAGCATGCGTGTGAGTGCTTCGCTCTTCCAAAGAGAATGCTGCGAGTTCTTAATCATTTGCTCCAGCTCTTCTTCATTGACAGCACGGATAAGTAGTAATCGCATGTTTTGATCGTATGATGCGTACTCTATATGCAATCGTCTTACAATCTTGTCGTAGTCTTTCTTGCCGTGAAAGAATGCCTCTGCGGAGTCCAGGAGAGTCTTGCGATGCTCATATGCTGATATAACCAGAGGAATAGCGCCGAGAACCAGCCCCGCTATTTCGGCCATCCTGAGCACATTGGTAAAGGCGTTATCTATGCGTTCTCAGACGAAGGCTGAGACTGTGATGTAGAGAATGAGTCTCATAGTCTGTGTACAGCTGATAGCATAAGGAACTTCTCGATCTCGTTTGGAACTCGCTGGTTCTAATGTGGTTTTGAAGAAGCGACGTCTCGTTACGAAGTGGCGCTGGAAGGTGTTCTGATGAATGTCTGCCGCCGCAGCCTTGCAGCAACAACAATTTGAGTGGACAACAGTGCCGGCATAAAAATGATCAGAAGTTTCAATTGGAGGCCTTGGTAAATACCCCTCTTTCGACTTCGTGCCATTTTCGGCTACCATGTTGGCCGCAGCCTGATCGCATAGGACATAGTTTTACATCTGGTTCTCCCCAAAGACAAGGCATGCTTCCCTATTTGCTACATATAACTCTCCTAGCAACTGCGTGGTAGCCAACCCTCATCGATAAGCATTCCGATACCTAAACATCTGTGGCAAGCTCAAATGTTGAACAGCCGGAAAGCGTCTTATCTGGTCACCTATCCAGGACTTAGTTGGAACCCCGTCGTCGAATAGATCAGCCTCTACAAACGCGAAGCATCAGACAATCCGCTTGTTTTCTTGTCAGGCAGTATGGAGGCACCTCCAGTGTATCCAGTAGCGGCAGCTAGCAGGGCATGCATGCAGTCTTTCAGATGTCTGATAGCGGTATTAAATCAGCCAAACCAGCAGTCGGATGGAAAGCTGGATGTTAGTACGGTGGAAACCCAACGCGATCGGTTCAAAATATGGGCGGCCAATCTCGGGGGACTACAGTACGGAAGGGCGTCTCTCGATTTCCGCCTGATGGATGCACCTCTTCTACAGAATGTGGTCTTGAAATTTCTGAACGAGCTGAAAAGAGTTGTGGGCGAAAGTATGTTGCTACTATCATAAAACCCGTTGTTGGCGTAGGATCTGATCAACAAAACCAGGCACCGAAGTTATCGAGGGAAAGAGGCAACCAAAAGAGAACATTCTGAATGTGACTCCAAACCACCCCGAGATCCATGAGGACGACTCCTCTGATTCCAGCAGCTTCTCCGAAGGCCTCGAGACAACTGCCGAGGATGTCTCACAAACTGAGCTGGGTCAGAACTCGGACGAAATCGATGATATTATCTCATCGCTGGTGAAGATCTCCTTTCGCATCAGAGGCATAAGCTCTAGGGATTCCCAGGCGGCGCACAAAGCCACGATGCACAAAGAGTTTATTCAAGATGAAGAACTGAATACTGTTGACGTTTTCTCAGTGTACTCTGTCTTCGACCGGCGGCATGTAGAAGAGTGGATTCTCCAACTGAGGAAAAGTCCCGAATCGGCCGTCTCTCAACCCCAAACACCTCCCCGAATCACCTCAGATGAAGTCCATCACGAGGAAAACAAGTCACATATCAAGCCAGCGACATTCAAAGGCAGTGATATTAGACTCATAGAACGCTGGAGCAAAGCGACAACTGTCAGACGTCGTGTTTTGGCTTATTGGCGAAGACATGCTCGGAAGTTGGCTAAGCGTGACCATGAACCGACGCCTCAAAGAGATCAAAACAGTAGTAGCCTGACACCGGATACTATCGATTCTAATCAGACGCCCATGCTTCCTCCTATAGTCTTGGGAACGACGCATCCGGAATCGCTGCCGGCTCTCAGCTCCAAGGGCGGTACACTTCTATCTGGAACGGAAGCCACTCGGTTGCCAATGCAGATGGACATGACCGACGCTTCATCAATTGTTTCATACTCGACATATTTCAGTGAAGAAGGCAAAAGCACCGATCTACCAAAGCCACCGAAGCTGAAAAATAGGGAGTCAGAGTTCACTTGCCCATACTGCCATGTGCTTTGCCCCAAACAAGACACGAAAGGCAGACATTGGAGGTCAGTCATCCCAACTTATCCCCGGGACTCACTCAACTAATAAAATTCATAGGGATCACATTATGCAGGATCTTCAACCCTATCAGTGCACCTATCCAGACTGTCGAAGTGCTGACGTGTTATTCACTAGTAAAGACTCGTGGATCGATCACGAGTCTCAGGACCATCGGAGGGTTTGGAGGTGCTCCGAACATCCAGACCTGTTCAAATCGATGGAAGAGATAACACATCATTTTGAACTATCGCATACTACTCTCGGAACTGCACAGGTCCAGGAGATCTCGAAACATGCCCATTCTATCACACAAGACTTGCGGACGGAATGCCCCTTTTGTCAGTCATCTGGTCCGTTTGAAGAGGATCTCACAAGCCATATGGCTTCCCACATGGAACGACTCGCTTTGTTCTCAATACCAAGAAGCGCCATCAATGATGATGACGATGATATGTCAATAACAGGCGGTTCCGGAGTAGCTCAAGGCGGAGGATCTGCAGCATCTCTCAAGTCGGTCAATCTGACCTTCTCTGATGCAGGTTCCTTGGCCTCATCTGGCTCTGACCCTGAGATAACAGGTCCTCAGGCCACCGAGAGTTCTGATGGCAAGCTTAAACTCGATGATGCACTCGAGAAAGACGCATACAGCGAAATTTGGGACTGGCTAGCTTCAGAAGACCACACGCTGGATTTCGACTCCTATATTGGTAGGCGGCACCCGGGGACCCTCAGGTGGTTCTTCGAATCGCAGATATACCAATCCTCGTTCTCTTCTGAGGGAAAAGTGCTTTATCTCCGGGGCCTACCAGGTGTTGGCAAATCTGTCTTGGCAGCTGCGATTATTAACGATCTAAGGAGGCGATTCGAAAGTTCCGGGTCTCGCATCGCCTACTATTTCTGCTCTTCCCAACGTCACAACCGGGCAACTGAAGCGTTGCTTCGAAGTCTCATAAGGCAAATCCTCGAAGGCGTTTCTGAAACACCGAAGCTTCTCCAAACCATTCACCAGAGCTATCTCAAAGATGGACAACTACCTTCATTGTTAGCTTTACTGGACGCTTTCGTGGAAGCTACGGATCATGTTTCAAGTCTTTTCATAATCATAGACGGCTTCGACGTTCTGAGAGGCGATCAAGACCGGGAGCTGTCCAAAGTCCTAAACTCGTTATCAGCTAAACCCGACAAGAAAGTTATCGTAACCTCCAGGTGTATCAATTATGTCGATCGGCAGTTTCGTAACTGGCCAGTTATGAATGTCAAGGCAGTTGAGGAGGACTTGCGAAGTTACGCCAGAGCAGCGACACTTCGCAACGAACCCCAAGGATTCCTAGAAGCGGTCAACTTAGAGGAGGCAGAAACGCAAGTCGTACAATTCTCCAAGAATATGTAGGTCATATCCCCTCAGCCAACTCAGAACAACCACTCATGGCAACAGTTTCGCTTTCGCGACAATCTATCTCGAATTTACGCCTACAGAATGGATGACAAGCGCCGTAACTGGCGGGGAACCACAAAAGATGATTGACAGCTTTTACATAGCTGAAATGAAGCGCAACCAAAACTCATCAGGGTTCACAGCTGCACTTGAACTCCTGGCATGGGTCGTCAGATCTCCGACCTTATTGAAAGTTGCAGAGGTAAAAGAGATTCTTCATTTGCAAGCAAGAGCAGTGCAATACTCGACCAGCTCCGAGAGAAAAGTTGATCCAGGTCAACTTTATGACCTGGAAAGGCTGCTGTTCTGGTGCTCGGGGCTTGTCGTTCTTGCGCGAGGCGACGTGCTTCGACTTTTCCACCCTACAGCAAATGATTACTTCACCCGAAACCAAAAGGAATGGTTTCCGAAAGCGGCAGAAAACCAAGCATATCTCTGCTGTGAATACCTGACCAACGCCACTGACAGAGACGAAAGCGCGAACTGCGACCTCAAGTATTTCGAGACGAAATTTCGATTTTTCACTCACGCTGCTATTGCTTGGGGTCGTCACGCGTTTCAAGCATTTGAACAAGAGGGAGGACTGAAAAAAGGCAGATTATACAGAGTGGTCAGAAATTTTCTTTCCCGTGGCTGGAGAGTCCAGCATGTCGCCGAGGCCCTAAGGAAAAACATCAAGTTAATTTGGAACGGGAGCATACCTAAAAGTTTTTCCCTGCACTGGACGCGTCTTCAACTGGCGATATACTTTGGGCTCACGGACATCGTGACGGACTTACTTCATGAACATAAGCTTGGTGCGAAGGACTTGATTGGAGAAGGAGACAATTCGCTGGTAGCCCTAGCCGCAGAGTGCGGCCATATGTCAATTTCGACCCTTCTGTGGACACGTCTGAACTGGGAGCCGTGCGCACTCGATGACGGTTTGTTGGGAGCAGCCCGCGGAGGCTTCAAAAACATTGCGGTAATGGCTATGGATCACGGCGCAGATCCCAGAAAGCCAGCGCCGTTGTGTGCTGCATCTCAGTGTGGCCATGAGGACATTGTTCGTCAGCTGCTGGATACGGCCCCAGATTTGGTCAAATTGACGCAAGAAGAACCATTGCGCCTCGCCATCAAGAACGGCCACTCGAGCGTCGTTCGGTTATTATTTGAGCGGGGGACTTCCATGCCTGCAGACGCCAGAAAATTGCTACTCGATTCCATCCAGCGGAAGGATATGAACATGGTTCAAATTCTCCTGGAGAAGGAGCCGCGACTAGCCAACGGCGATTCTGAAGGGGGAACGACGCCTCTCTTCCTTGCAATTGATCAAGACGACGTTGCCATGGTCAAGGTTCTGTTGAAGTGTGGAGCGAGTGTTCTTGAAGAGGACGAAGCTGGAAAGACGCCGGCGTATGTAGCGCGAGTAAATGGTCAAAAAGAGATCCAAGATGTAATAGAAATATGGGAAAGGAGAAGGGAGAATAGATGAGACGCTGCCGTAGGATGCTTAGATGGTGGAAGACGGATCGAAGTCCTAGTAAAATGTGCCGTCCATTTGAAGCGATCATAATCATCAACCCAAACTAGCGATGATATGATCTAACCTCCTGCCTCGTTGGTACAATCAAGAGCGAACTTGAGCGACCTTGAATTGAACTGGAAAATAGACACTTCCGCAGTGGAAAATGAGGCGTTCTTCGGAGATGTTTACCCACTTTTTGTTAAAGGCACACACGATTAAGAAGTTTCTATTTACACAAGTCCAAGGTCCTTCTCCACCATACCACGGCAAATGGGGTGGTAAAAGTCCCTGTTCTTCTCAAACGTCTTGAGCGCAAGTTGCCTGTCAACCTTGTTAAGCGACCGGAACAGCGGCCTCACAAACTTCATGCGACCGACGTGACCCAACAGCTCCGCGGCGCCCTGATACGCAGACGAGTCCTCGGCAGCGAGCGCAATCTTGTAGTACGCCGTCTTGAGCTCGGCGTTGCGCGACGAGACGAGGTCGTACACGGTGCCGAGCAGCTTTGCGCGGTCAGCGGACAGAGGAGACGGGAACTTCTCGATCGTCTCGAGGAGGACGAGCTTTTGGTTTCCGGAGAAGGAGGCGACGTCCTCGGCGGAGGGCTTGAAGGACTCGTCCTTCCAGTTCTCGGCCAGCTTGTAGCAGACATCGGCCAGGGTGGTGTCGAAGACGGGCTTAGGCGGGAGACCGGGCTGGTAGAACCACGTATCCCAGTCGATGGAGGCGACCTTGTTCTTAATCTCCTCGTCGCCGAGGCCGTTGAAGAAGGTAAGGAAGGTGTCCTTGAACTCGAACGAGTCGAGGGACTTGCGGGACCACTTTGTGAAGTAGTGGGGGATGAACTTGTCGAAGGCGTCCATGCCGACGAGACGCTCGAGGTAGTAAAGGAAGTGGAAGCCCTTCTCGTAGGGAACGGTGCTGAAGGCATCATCGGGGTCGATGCCCTTGTGGTTGATGATGAGCTTGGTGAACTCCGAGTCGGCGCCATTCAGAGCAACGGCGTCCTCAAGGGCCTTCCAACCAATGATGGCTGAGAAGTCACGCTCGGCGTCACCGTGGACAGCCATCCCGATACGACGCTCAAGATACGTGGTCCAGCCCTCATTCAGCCAACTATATCACGTCGTCAGCTACCCCTTTATCATAATGACAACACATCAAAATCCGACTTACAAGTGCTCCCAACTGCAGCTGGTCACCAGGTTACCACTCCACGAGTGACTCAGCTCGTGTGCAATAACGTCAACATTCTGCTTGTCGCCGCTGATGATGGTCGGCGTAGCAAACGTGTAAATCGGGTTCTCCATACCACCGTAGGGGAAACTAGGCGGCAGAACAAGAACGTTGTACTGACCCCACCGGTAAGGGAAGACAAGCTTCTCCGCAACTTCCATGAACTTCTCCATGTCGTTCTGCAGCTCCCACTGCGACTCCTTGAGCTCATCAGGCCCCGTGGCAACGATACTCCGCGGTCCAATAGGCGCCGTGGCGATATCACCCGAGGCCAGGGCGAACAGGTACGACGGGATGGGGACCTTCTGCTCGAACCGGTAGACCGTGTTGTCACCCTTCTTCTCATCCTTGCCGGAGCCCTCAACGAGGACACCGCTAGCGACGACAGGTAGAGGCGAGGCGAGGACGAAGCTGTACGTCGACTTGACGTCCGGTGTGTCCTGGCAGGGAAACAGCGAGCGGGCGTGAATGGCCTGGCACTGGGAGAACATGTACGGGTGCTTCTTGTTGCTCGTCTGCGCGGGCGTGAGCCACTGCAGGGCGGTGCACTTGTCCGTGGTAGCGAGGTCGACGTCGACCTTGACCACCTCGCCCTTGGCGGCGCCCTGGGGCACAAAGACGTGCAGAGGGGCGCCGTACGGCTCCACGCGGTCCTTGAGCTCCCATGTCGAGGTGGCGGCGTTGACCTTGACGCCCGAGATGGAGAGGAAGCTCGAGTCGAGGATGATCTCCTTGCTCTGGCTGTCCGTCAGGGACTCGAGCTCGAGGGTGACGGAACCCTTGAGAGACTTGTCCTTGAAGTCGATCGTTAGGTTGGCGGTGGTGTGCTTGGTTAGCCACGCGCCATAGTTTGATAGGGTGTTTGGGTCTCTGTTGGTCGAGGTGGTGGACGCCATCTTTGCAGTAGTGCCGAAGGCGGCTGCGCGGCTCTGAGGGCTCGTGAGGCGGGTGAAGCTTGTTCTGATAGGAATTGAACCCTTTGCAAGAAGGGATCGCCACATGTGTGTAAAAACTTGCTGACTTTGCGGAGCTCCAGTTCTCCAGAAATTTGATGTCCTTCAACTCCTCCTCTCGTGATGTTGTTGGTAGCACTTGCCACATTCGGACTAAGGTAGAGGGGTAGCTTCAGCCACACGTGGGACATGGAGTTCAGCCACAGACGGTTAGTTCGGCAATGGGGCAAGCCACATACCTCCAGCCACACTTTATCTGGATCTGTCATGGAAGCCACGAGTGCTACCTTGGAGAGGGCGGCTGTTTCTATCCAGCCCCCACCTCACGTTTGTTTCACCAGGTGGTAAACCCTCGTAAAGTAGTCTTCAGCATTCATCCCAAACGTCCCAAAGATGCAAGAACTAGACAGGCCAGGCGCACGATTGCTTGCCATCTCTCTCCATCTACAGAGTACGAAGTGCCCTTCTCAATTGATCAAATGCCGAGGCTTGAGCACGACATCTAACGGCGCCATCGAGATGGCCATCCCTCATCACTCAAGATGAGATCCAACACCCACATCAAAGGCCGGACCATCGGCTCTCCTGGAAGCCTTGGCTATCACACTTGTCTCTTAAACTCCAGGCACTCCAGGCACACCAAAAACTCAACCGTCGATAAGCTCACGCGAGCCTAGCACGGGGTATCTTCCGTATCAATCTCTCTCTCTCTTGATTGTCTTCGAACTCCACACGAACCTGCAAAGCTGCAGACCCCAGCCAGAACGGAGCTGAACGAGTGAACCACGACCAAGACCAACATCCTGAAACGGCGCTGCCTTTCCCCGGGGATGGGATCTCCCTGCGTGACGTATCCGTACCTGGGAGAGAATCTCTGGGCCGTCTTCGCACTCCGGGATACGGGGATTGCCCAAGCCGTTCCTTGTGCCTGCTCGCCGCCATCCCGACTTATCTTTTCCCTCTCCGCCCTGGCCCCTGGAGGCTTGTCCTGCGTTTCTGTTCCCCAAGCCACCCGTCACCGTCCACCCCTTTCTTTTTCGGTGCTGCCGCATGAGATCATACACTCCCACATACCTTCGTACAACACTGAGAGAGAGTTTGTCGACAGTGGCCTGGACCAAGAAAACTTCTCTCCGTCCTTTCCGGGGTGAGAAACCGGACGAAAAGTCTCCTCTTCGCCCACCCGGCTCAGACCTCGAGACCTGGACCTGGAAGTCGATAACCCCCTTACTGCGTAAACAGTATCCGTAGATACCTCGACAAGCAGTTCGTTCCATGTTCCGTGTGGCCGATCTCCCTTCTCACGAGGGGTTTCGGAATTCACAATCAAACAAACTGCTCTCAGCGGAGGGTTTTCTTCCACGTGCGTGCATCAGGGGAGAAAAGAGTGAGAGATAGAGGATAGAAAGGCAGGGCTCCAATAGCCGATGATAATGCTGCTGGGAACAATCCGACAATGGTTACGACTCCAGGAGGCCTTCGTGTCCTCCTGAAGCTGGAGCACGACGCGTCAGAAATACAGCCAGCCGTCGTTTGAATGTGGCCGTTGCTCCCCGATTCAGTTTCCTCCTCGCGATGCAAGAGGTCGTTTCTGCTCATGGTGTCGTGGCAGCAGACCTTCTCACCTCCCCTTTCCCGTTCCCGTCAACACCCTCCTTTCGTATTCCACCCGGCCCGATCTTTGTATCCGTAGACCCCTTCCCGCATCTGGGCTGCATCTGCATCTGTCTACATCCGCATCTAAGACAAGAAAAACTGACACAAAGTTCTTCGTGACTGCAGAATCTGAGATGGTGGCGGGTCTGCAGCCTCACCTTCTTTCTCTCTTTTTTTTCGGCCTCCTGCCTGTTTCCGCTTCCACCTCGTGAACAAGGTGGCCCAACCGCTCATTCCCCATTCGCCTGGACCGGTTCGCACTTCTCACTCCTACTGCGTACTGTGGCACAAAAAAGGCGTTCCCAACGGGGTATCGCAAGAGGACAGGGGTCGGAACCGTGGAAGGGGTTGCTCTGCATCCGCGGCCGTGGCTACTGCCCCTCGCGGTCACACCGGCGGCGCGGCATGGCGTGAGTTGTGGATACCAAGAGGTTCCAAACCCAGCTCCGGGGGTTGGCAGACTCGAGGAAGAGAGTGGGAGAGAGTCAAGGGCTCCTCCTCCGGCTAAAATGGGTGGATGCGAGATATGTGACAAGACCTGCATCGTGACGGTTGCCACGGGTATGCCTATCGTTAGGCGAGAAAAAATCCCACTGAGAAAGCCCACAGGTAGAGGCCGCCGCCCAGCAAAAACACCACCTAGTCCAGTCTCGTAGTGTACTTTGTGCGAATACGGATACCCAGGTGACAGTCGTTACGTATTCGGGTATAATCGCTTGAAGCCTCCCAATACGTAAAGGTAGATACTGCCCGTCATTTCTCTTTTGCAATATCGCTTCTTGCGACTAAGGAGAAATAAAAGATCCATCCTCGTACTGGGCGAACATCTTCAAGGGCGATAAACTTTCCCGAGTGGAAAGCTTAGTATAGCAAAGGATATTGAATATTCTGCATCTTGAGACCCCTCCCCGAAGGAAAACAGACCGCCAAGCTTGCGGATACCAAACGGCCTCTCAATCTCAATCGCAGAGATCCATGCCTCCATCACCAATAACGGATCCGTCTTATTCATTTACTCAGGGCCCTCGGAGCTTGAGCCTTGGAGGGGGGAGCTGGGAGCCGTGGGAGCTTGTCCGGCCACCCTTACCCCACACTTGATGGGGGCGCGCTGTCACCCTGTCACAACAGGAACCCACATTCTTCTGGAAGCCCGTGTCCAACCGGAGTCCAAATAGCCAGCAGGGGTCTCGCTCGTTTCTTCGGTGGAAGGGGGAGGGGGGAAAGGGGATGGTTGGAGATTGAAAGGGGCTGCAGCAGTTCTTCGTTATAGCGCTATATGTGGCGTTGCCTATGATAAGATGCGAGCTATCGCGCTGGGAATATCCGTACAGTTTGTGCAATATTTGTCGATATTTGTTTGGGCTTCCTTTGGGGGGGGGGGGGGGGGGGGGGGGTGGGGAAAAACGGGGGGGTCTCCCCGGGTGCCGGGGGAAAACCGCCAAGAGTTTGGTCTGGGGGTTTTAAGAAATGGATTTTTTTGTCGGGTGTTTGAGGGAGAGGGGGAGACGCGCTCTCTGCGAGGGGCGGGAGGGTTTTTTCCCGGGGGGGGGGGGGGGGGGGGGGGCTGTGCAAGAACAGGTGCGCTTCCCTCGTGCCGTCGTGAAACAGCCCGAATGTATGGCTACGGGCTTTAAGACAATGCAGTATTTGGTCACGGTTGTTGACGAACAGGAGATGACCTCGTTCCTGGAAGACGGGAACGATTGTCTCGCTAGCCCAGGCTGGTGCAATGGGCGTTGTTTGGCCTGGGCCCCTGGGCTTGTAAGCTCTGACAAACGAATGATTGGGAACTCGCTGAGCAGCAAGTAGGCAAGGCAGTGCAGGGGTGAGGCCATGAAGGTTCGCTGAATGCGAATTCTATCAAGGCCTAGAGGCTGGACTGCTGAATTGCTGGAGGGCATGCTCTAACCTGTGAGTCTGTGAGTCTGTCGCAAGCAGTGATAAGAGCCACGAACAGGGTGTGAAATGCAAAGCGATGCCGTTTTGGAGGGCCAGATTCCGCAGCGAAGGACTTCGGCCACGGAGGATGCGCCGGAGGATGGGCACCTTTCGAGTATGGACGCTTCATCCCCGACTTGATCTGGCCCTCTCTGTCTACCACGTTGGAGGGATCGCGGTTTCGCACCACTGCAGGTGCGTCGTGACCTTGCCCTTGAAGCTTCATGGACCAGCAGCAACCGCGGAGCGCACCCGTTGAAGCCAAGACCAAGAAAAGGGGGGCCAGTCTGCCAGTGTCGGCCTGCCCCTCCCAGCCTAGCTCATCTTCATACATATTGGTGGTAGTGGTGCGGCGTGGCCGAGCTGTGACTGGATAAGGGCCCCCCCAGATCACGCTGGATAGCGTTTTCCCAAGCAAGAGGGACGCTAACAATTCAAGCTTAGCAGGGAGCGTTGCCGGAAGCCAGGCTCAACGCGTGGCCTTTCTCTCTCTTCCTCTTTTTCTTTGCGTTGGGGCCCGAGGGGAGGGATTGAGCATCGGTCTTGCTCCGAAGCGGGGGTGGCCGGCCGAGTTCGCCAAGAGAGGGGCCAGGAGGACGGTGCTTCTTGCAAACCTCTCTAGAGACCGCCAGAGACCGGATCGGTGCCGAATGACCGAATACCGGATATGAAAGTGTGGGAATACTGCCCGAAAGGTTAGCCTTGATCCTGCGCCGGGAGGGCTCGGTCTGGCACCAAGAGCCATTGCGAGAGGGCCGTATGCGTGGTAGAGATGTCTAGAAGGCTTACACTGCTCGTCGGAAGAGGCCCGTGTTTGAGCGTTGCGTGCTCTGTCAACTCATGATGATGGCACGCATACTGCTACTGCAAGCCACGGTCTGTTTGTGCGTTGCCGTAGATTGCAGCAATGCAATGTAAGTGAGAGCCTTGGTAGGACAAGGGCCGGGGGAGCACAAGTCCGATCGCGTTTTCCGCGCTAAGAATTAATTGAGGGGCACCTACAAGATCTTGACATGACGGCCTGGGAACGTTGGCCAAACTTTAACCTCGGGTTAGTTTAAGGCAACAAGAGAGAGGAGGGAGAGTGTGGGCGAGTCCATGGTATCCGTAGCTTGAGGATTGAAGGGTCTCGCCTGACGTCTATTCCCTTCATCTCCACTAGTCTCTGACAGTACTACAACTCCCACAGCGTGTCATGGTGATTGCAAAGCGATGAATCTAATGGTAACTCGTCATTCCTGTCATGGCTGTCGTCTATCGAATGCAATGCCTCTGCAAAATCAGCTTGCCTTACGGGTTACGAAGTCGTTGCGGTGTTGTTAGTTGACAAAGAGAAAGGGCCTGTCAACCATGTGGCTCCGGCATTTGCGCTGCTGTAATCGTCGGAGAAAATTGGAAACTTGGATGGGATTGACTGCTGATCTCTCCCGAATATGCCCGTTGACATGCAGGTCCCGAGACGGGTGCCAAAGTCAAAAATATACGACGAAATAATACTCCGCATGTTGATCCCTTTTGTCATGGGCCACCGGCATCCATGTCGGGACCTCTCAGGGAATCTCCTCAACTCTTCAACGTGTGGTAATCTCTCCAGGTTAGCATCTCTAGTCCGAGACTGCGGCCTACCAGGGGCAAAGTTGGTAGGGTTGGCTAGCCGCTCAAATCTGCGCCCAATTGCAGTTTTGTCAAGGGGTTTGCCACGTTTTGCAAGTTGAGTCTTGACTCTTGTGCCACACAGTGATGCTTCGCCCTCCACCTTTCGTGACAGTGTTTCTAGGGGTCGCATCCCCCGGCTTCGCAATTGCCCCCCCCCCCCCCCCTCAAGCAGCTCATGAATACTACCTTCATGTGTTGGTAGCCTGAGTCTCGGGGCCTCGAGGTGACGCCGTTCGGGGGCTAGATACTCAACATTGGTCGTTCCCCCATCGTTGGCCTTGCCTCTGTGCGGACGCCTTGAACCGTAACTGCGGTTGTATGGCTTCGCTTCTGACGGGGATGAGATCGGCCTCCTTCCCCGTGTCGTAGCTGTTATAGAGAGATTATCCGCACTTGTGATTTCCTTGCCATTGACGAATAATAGGTTGCAGATGACTACCAGGTCAAGTTTCCTGGATGAAACGCTGTTTCGACCCCGCACTTGAAGCAGGCGAAGGCGTGTCTGCCACCTACTGCTCGAGCCTCGGGAACGCTAGATTAGAACCTCTCTTTGGGGGGCAATGATGCTTGCAATACCACGATCAGGCATACTGTCAACCAGAGAAGTGGCAGGTCCTATGTGATATGACGATTCGCTCTTGCGTCGGAGGCTTGACCACTGCCTATCACCGGAACCTGGTGGAAGCGAGAATTGGCAGAGAATCGCCCATGGTCCATGATTGCTTGGTAGTTTGGTCTAAACAGTTCGCCACAGAGTTGACGCGTCTTCGAAGTTCTGTAAACTGTCTATGATGTGAGCGAATCCACATCCTCCTTTTGTTGCAAGGTTACAACCTAGTGGCGTATCAGTCAACGTGCGAATAGGGGCATAGTGTTGTCAACGTGTCACACGGCCCGTCGTTGAGATCAACTGGGGAAGAAACCAGGCTTGATCGAGCCAGAAATTCGTTGAGAGGGCTTTGGTATAGACCTCTCTCTATGTGGGATGTGTGCAAACAGCCGTATCCCGAGACTGTTGTAAAGCGAGTTTCGAGAGGGTTGTAAGCGATGTGAGGCAATGGCGCTAACCATGGGTCTGCGACGAACCAGACTCTAGTGCCTGCCATTACTATGTGTATTATAAGCTTGGTATGCCAGGAATATCGGAACGATGGCAGGTTGTCTCAATGTCAGATCCTTACTTTGCTTGGTGTAGCTAGGTCCCGTGAAGGAAGATGCCTGCTGTTGTGTCCGTACTGTGCTGTTCCTCAAGAGCGTGGGGGCCTTCAATGCCAGAGATTACAATGATTGCTGCCCATACTCGCAATGATGGCGCCCTACTATCCCCTCACTCGAGGTGCCACCACCTTATCTCCACTGAGGTTGTTTAGAAAGCTTGTTTCCGGCATATGAAGTTGCTTCCTGGTGGATGGATGCCGGCTAACAAGATCGGAGGTCGTCTCATCATCGTCAACGGTCTGCGGCCGGACATGATAGCGACCTAGACAGGACGACACAAGTGAACCTCGACACATCTGAACGCGCATATCGAAGGCTGCATGGGCGGCGTTGTTTTCTCAGGAATAAGCTACACATAAGCCTGATGCTGTGGTTTCGGTCCTCATTGGCGTGATGCGGCACTTGGAAGTTTGCAGAGTTATCGGCACTTGGTCGGTGGAGAATGATTGACCCAGACAACGCGAGATAAGATGGAAGAGTGGATGGTGCAGTTAGCTAGCTGGATCCAGATAGCGAGAGGATAGACGGCATTGTTCAGCGTCAGTGTTTCACTGGGCGAAACCCTCAGTTTGCTCAATACAGCGCCAGCTCAGCAGATCTCACAAGATCTTCGAGGCCCGGGCCACGAGTTCTTCCTGTCAGTTGTTGACGTAACTCTAAAAACCCTCAATTTTGGCCGACCGCTGCGCGCCAACACAGTATCCATTCGCAGTGCAACATCTGTATCATGGCGTTGTGGTTCATTTTCTTGTCTGTTGCCGCTGTTCCGTTGAGGATTTGCCTCGTGGTCCCATGACTATGAGAATGGTGAGTTCCGAGTGCGAACTCCTGAGAGTACCGCAGTCATCTCCACCATGCATCATTTCTCTATGAATTTTCGTGACTCGTTTGCAGCATAAGCGATGTGAAGAATGCGACGTCGTTGCAGAGATGGTCCTAAGTGCGGGGTGTAAAAAGTCGCCCCAGTCCGTGTGAATGTGACGACGCTGGAGCATCGCAGCGCGCCAGCACGGTCATGAACCAGGTTGTAGCCGGCCGATCTCAACGCGGATGCGTCCGCGCACACTGACCACCAGACCTGGCTATCTCTGGCCCTAATGAAGGCGGAAATCCCAAATCAGGTGAAATGTTGATGGTTTCGTGTCAAGTATGCCGATGATGTGTCCTAGCCGCGATTGTCTTTATGAGCCGAGCTTTCGAGATGAAATATTGGTCTCTCTCGTCAAGTTGTCGGATATGAGGTTCCTCAACTAGGCGAATATATTCTACTGAGGCCCGTCTTACAATACAACGGTGCGATATTGACATCACTCAGGATCCACGACCCCGGCGCTCTGCTCGTTGCAAAACGGTAAACCCAGTCGATTTCGATATTGTCCTGCCACCGCTCTACGGAGTACACGTGCGAGGTGAGTAAAGCCCCCCTGCATTAATGAACGGCTGGAGCCTTGATATCTCGGGGAGCCAGTGTCGAGATGGGTCGTCGACAGGGGAGCTTCGTTGGGAGGTCGAGAGGCCAGGGGCCCTGGCAATTGCTCAGGATAGGGGAATGGCTAGGGGCGGAGATCAACCTATTTCAGACATGTATGCTGCATCTTCAAGGATACCTGGTTCCACCCAGGTTCTCATCAGTCCCACCGAAGGATGGGAGCCTGAGGAGGTCTCGACAATTTGATCTTCGTCTCAAGATGGACGAGTGTTTGTGTCCCGTATCCGTACTCCGTACCTCCATTCACCGTCGTCCAAGGTGCAGTGAGTTGCTGTACAATGAGAATAACCATGAACATCTCCGTGGTGGCCTCTCTTCTCCCAATTTCGTGACATCGCCGATCATAGTCTGAGATATTTCAAAAACCGACGATGCTGTGCAAAACCATTAGAGTGTGAACCCCACGCCTCATAGTGCAAGCTGCTTTCTTATTCCAATTCTTCCAATTCTTCAAAGACGTCTCAGTCCCGTGTCAGCCGCCTCGTGCATAAGTTATTGGCAACTTGAAGAAACCCCGCGTTGTTCGGATAGGCGCCGATGCCCGTCAGCACACGGTCGTCAAATTGCGTTAGAGTGCTATGGCTTGAGTCAAGTTTGACCTCACTTAACTCCTCATACTCTCATATGCTCCATCATACCTATCCGCGCCGCAGAAACTGACGTTCGGGCCACTGAGAGGAAACAGAGACGTGGAAACCAGGTTGATCTTAATGGCAAGGTCGATGTTGGGCTCGTGGAAGATGAACCAGGGGTCCCTTACCTCGGGAGCGAAGTCCGGCCAACGTGGTTACCTAGACTTCCTGGTCGATATTCGTAAAGTGAAAAATATTTGGTACTCCGTCAGTCCGTACGGACAAACGTGTAAGGATCGGTAGGTTCGAACGCTTTCAAGGGCTGCTCGGACAACACCAAGACTCGAGCTACTAGCGGTGTGATCATTGTTGAAGGCGTTCAAGACACCCATGCGAACT